GGGGCAGGTGTGGAGAAGGTGTGGTGGAGGTGTGGGGCAGGTGTGGAGAAGGTGTGGAGAAGGTGGGGGGCAGGTGTGGGGCAGGTGTGGAGAAGGTGTGGGGCAGGTGTAGGGCAGGTGTGGAGAAGGTGTGGTGCAGGTGTGGGGCAGGTGTGGAGAAGGTGTGAGGCAGGTGTGGGGCAGGTGTGGAGAAGGTGTGGTGCAGGTGTGGGGCAGGTGTGGAGAAGGTGGGCAGGTGTGCAGGTGTGGGGCAGGTGTGGAGAAGGTGTGGTGCAGGTGTGGGGCAGGTGTGGAGAAGGTGTGGTGCAGGTGTGGGGCAGGTGTGGAGAAGGTGTGTGGGGCAGGTGTGGGGCAGGTGTGGAGAAGGTGTGGGGCAGGTGTGGTGCAGGTGTGGGGCAGGTGTGGAGAAGGTGTGGGGCAGGTGTGGGGGGCAGGTGTGTGGAGGAGAAGGTGTGGGGCAGGTGTGGTGCAGGTGTGGAGAAGGTGTGGTGCAGGTGTGGAGAAGGTGGGGAGCAGGTGTGGAGAAGGTGTGGGGCAGGTGTGGGGCAGGTGTGGAGAAGGTGTGGGGCAGGTGTGGGGCAGGTGTGGAGAAGGTGTGGTGCGGGTGTGGGGCAGGTGTGGAGAAGGTGTGGTGCAGGTGTGGGGCAGGTGTGGAGAAGGTGTGGTGCAGGTGTGGGGCAGGTGTGGAGAAGGTGTGGGGCAGGTGTGCAGGTGTGGGGCAGGTGTGGAGAAGGTGTGGTGCAGGTGTGGGGCAGGTGTGGAGAAGGTGTGGTGCAGGTGTGGTGCAGGTGTGGAGAAGGTGTGGGGCAGGTGTGGTGCAGATGTGGGGCAGGTGTGGAGAGGAGTGTGGGGCAGGTGTGGTGCAGGTGTGGAGAAGGTGTGGTGTGGAGAAGGTGTGGTGCAGGTGTGGGGCAGGTGTAGGAGAAGGTGTGGTGCAGATTGTGGGGCAGGTGTGGAGAAGATTGTGTGGAGAAGGTGTGGGGCAGGTGTGGAGAAGGTGTGGGGCAGGTGTGCAGGTGTGGGGCAGGTGTGGAGAAGGTGTGGTGCAGGTGTGGGGCAGGTGTGGAGAAGGTGTGGTGCAGGTGTGGAGAAGGTGTGTGGTGCAGGTGTGGGGCAGGTGTGGAGAAGGTGTGGTGCAGGTGTGGGGCAGGTGTGGAGAAGGTGTGGAGAATGTGTGGTGCAGGTGTGGGGCAGGTGTGGAGAAGGTGTGGAGAAGGTGTGGAGAAGGTGTGGTGCAGGTGTGGGGCAGGTGTGGAGAAGGTGGGGAGCAGGTGTGGGGCAGGTGTGGAGAAGGTGTGGGGCAGGTGTGGTGCAGGTGTGGGCAGGTGTGGAGAAGGTGTGGGGCAGGTGTGGGGCAGGTGTGGAGAAGGTGTGGTGCAGGTGTGGGGCAGGTGTGGAGAAGGTGTGTGGTAGGTGTGGTGCAGGTGTGGAGAAGGTGTGAATTGCAGGTGTGGAGAAGGTGTGGTGCAGGTGTGGGGCAGGTGTGGAGAAGGTGTGGGGCGGGTGTGGGGCGGGTGTGGAGAAGGTGTGGGGCAGGTGTGGGGCAGGTGTGGTGCAGGTGTGGGGCAGGTGTGGAGAAGGTGTGGGGCAGGTGTGGTGCTGGTGTTGGCAGGTGTGGGGCAGGTGTGGGGGCAAGTGTGGAGAAGGTGTGGAGAAGGTGTGGGTCGGGTGTGGAGAAGGTGTGGAGGAAGGTGTGGGGCAGGTGCAGGGCAGGTGTGGAGAAGGTGTGGGGCAGGTGTGGGGCAGGTGTGGAGAAGGTGTGGGGCAGGTGTGGTGCAGGTGTGGGGCAGGTGTGTGGAGAAGGTGTGGAAAGGTGTGGGGCAGGTGTGGAGAAGGTGTGGTGCGGAGTGTGGGGCAGGTGTGGAGAAGGTGTGGAAACGGTGTGGGAGGCAGGTGTGGGGCAGGTGTGGTGAAGGTGTGGAGAAGGTGTGGGGCAGGTGTGGGCCAGGTGTGGAGAAGGTGTGGGGCAGGTGTGGGGCAGGTGTGGAGAAGGTGTGGGGCAGGTGTGGTGCAGGTTTGGAGAAGGTGTGAATTCAGGTGTAGGGCCGGTTTGGAGAAGGTGTGCAGGTGTGGGGCAGGTGTGGAGAAGGTGTGGTGCAGGTGTGGTGCAGGTGTGGAGAAGGTGTGGAGAAGGTGTGGGAGCAGGTGTGGAGAAAGGTGTGGGGCAGGTGTGGAGAAGGTGTGGTGCAGGTGTGGGGCAGGTGTGGAGAAGGTGTGGGGCAGGTGTGGTGCAGGTGGGGCAGGTGTGGAGAAGGTGTGGTGCAGGTGTAGGGCAGGTGTGGAGAAGGTGTGGGGCAGGTGTGGTGCAGGTGTGGGGCAGGTGTGGAGAGGTGTGGGGCAGGTGTTCAGGTGGGGCAGGTTTGGGGCAGGTGTGGGGTGGGTGTGGAGGTGTGGGGCAGGTGTGGAGGTGTGGGGCAGGTGTGGAGAAGGTGTGGGGTAGGTGTGCAGGGTGCAGGGCAGGTTTGGGGCAGGTGTGGGGAGGCGTGACTCGGGGAGAGCAAGGCTGGATGGAAGCTGGCCATTCTCTTTGTCCTACCAGTGCCGGTGCTCCTCTGCGCACCTCATGGTGCATGCGGCAGGCACTGCAGTTCCACCCGTGTCACCCTGCCTCTCGTAGCCCGCCTCTGCAGACCAGTAAGAACAGGCATATGTCTCCATTTAACATGTAGGAAGGGAGAGGCACGGAGCAGCATGGTAGCTCACAATCACACAGTAAACCAAGGCCAGGCTGAGATGGTCTTCTGACACGCCCTCTGAACCTGCTGGATGAATCCTAACTACTTCATCCAGGTTCTCTAGTTTCTGTCTGGTCGTCAGGTGAGATCACTGGCTTCCTGCCTGTGCCGACTTCCTTTCCTGGTCTGCTGTTTATAATGGGTCAGTGGAGAATTGTACGAATTTTCGTGTGGAAGAGCCTGATCCCTTTGTTATTCAACATGACATCTATACAATGTCTTGTCTGATGGATTCATGGCTGAGTTTAGGTCCAGGAAGTACTGCATCCATTGATCAGTTTCTGTGCTGTCCTCTTGCTGGAGAATACACGTTGTGGCTGCTCTCCCTCTTGTGAGCCCTGGTCACCAAGCCAAAGCTGGACCCCATCAGCCGCGGCCCTGTAAGGCCTTCTTTCCTTTAAATGACCTTTGTTCTGTTTGATCACTGAATGCTTTATCTTGAAATTTATTTTAACATGTACACCAGCTGCCCACAATCCCCTTGGAAGAAAGCTGGATATCAATTATGAAAAAAATAAGGCTGGGAATGGTGGCTCACGCCTGTAATCCCAGCACTTTGGGAGGCCAAGACCGGCAGATCAATGAGGTTGGGAGTTTGAGACCAGCCTGGCCAACATGGTAAAACCCCGTCTCTACTAAAAATACAAAAAAATTAGCCAGGCACGGTGGTGGGCACTTGTAATCCCAGTTACTTGGGAGGCTGAGACACGAGTTGCTTGAACTCAGGGAGACAGAAGTTGCAGTGAGCCAAGATCACCATTGCCTCCAGCCTGGGGGGACAGGGCAATACTCCATCTCAAATATAAATAAATAAATAAATAAATAAATAAATAAATAAATAAAAGAAAGAATTGGATGACAGTTTGCAAGAGGCTCCCAAAGGAGATCAGGAAGGAGCTGCACATCGGAGTCTTAATGCTGGCATGGGGAGAGGGTGCACAGAGCCCCTGAGTGACTGACCTGCTTCTGCACCAAAACCCCAAACCCTGCGTCCTTGAGGATGATGCAATTCCAATCACACCACTGGAGACTTTCTGTATTTGCTTACGGACTTGCATATTTGGACAATATATACAATTGCATTATTTATGTCTTTTGTAAATATCATTTTGAGATACCCTCAAATCATCCACATATTCTCTTTAAAATGGTGAGAAAGGTATCTCCATATGGTTTATGTGATCTAGTAATTCATAAGAGTATTGAGTGGAATTTATCACATACGGTTAATGCTTTGTGCTGCTTTTGTTTCTAGAGCTTGAAATCTGGCTATTTCCTCTGTAAGGGTTGAAATATCATTTTGAGATACCCTCAAATCATCCACATATTCTCTTTAAAAATGGTGAAAGGTATCTCCATATGGTTTATGTGATCTAGTAATTCATAAGAGTATTGAGTGGAATTTATCACATACGGTTAATGCTTTGTGCTGCTTTTGTTTCTAGAGCTTGAAATCTGGCTATTTCACTCTCTGTAAGGGTCTGGGGACATGAATTAAGACGCCTTTCTCTATGGAGTGCCTTGTTTGGGAGAGTTTGAACGAAGCACAACAGTTGGTTTTACTCTCAGGACACCCACAGCTTGGTGTGATCGGCTGGTTGGTGTGTACATTAGTGAAATGCCATGCAGTGGCAGACATGCGTCCAAGAATATAACATGAAGTACAGTTACAGCTCAAAGTGCTGGGAAGGGAGGGCAGGGAGGACCGGGTGAGGCAAGCCCAACACAGACGTCCTGAGGGGCGATGAGACGTTTTGGAGGGTGAGTCATGTTGGAGCCCCAAGATTGGACAGCTGGGGGTGTTGGATGGCAGGAAGGAGCTCCCAGGACTCAGACAGTCCCCTACTGGAATGCCAGCTCCAAGACTGGTCAGAAACTTTTATCTGTTTTATATACAGCTGATTTCCCAGTGCTTGGCACAGAGTAGATGCTCAATAAACAATTGCTGAATGAATGAATAATGAATGAACAGGCAGGGGAAATGGCAAAAGCCAGCAAAGGCTAGGAGACCAAAGGGCTGGCTTGGGGTGGGGAGGAAGGCAGTGTTAAGAAAAGGCCAGTGAAGCTTTGAGAAGATTGTTAAGCTATAGGAAAGTGGGCCAGATATCTGAGGTGCCCTGGGGGATACAAAGGAACCCAGGACTCAGGCGTTACCCTCCAGAAACACATGCGGTAACTGATGGAGGAGGGCCCTGACCTGCAGGGTGGGGCATGGAGTAGGGTTAGGGGGTAGGGACTGGGGCAGGGGAGGGGGCTGCCACATACCTGAAAGCCGGTGGGTACATCCTCAGCGTCTCTGCAATCACCATGTCCAGATAGGGCAGGCCTTCCTCGAGGCTGCAGAACTCAGGGACCATCTGATGGAGGGGTCGTGACAAAGGGAGAAGTTCATGTTAGCCCGACTCTCATGGCATTTTGTCTTTTCCTTAAATTTCAATCTTGTTTCCAACTTTGGCAAACATTTAAACGGAAACCCCACAAAATAAAAAGTCGATATGACCCAAATTGCATCTGATTGGCATTCAGTGCTTATATTTCACGGTGCTAGCCTGGGGCTCAGGGGTCCTTGTAATACAGAGAAGTTTGGTTATAAAACTGCAGCGGCAGCCACAGCTGCCAGCATTTATTGGGAGCTGACGATGTGGCCGACCAAGTGCAGCATAGATGTTCCCTCATTGGATCCTCCACTAAGCCAGTGTGGCGGCTACTTCCCCATCTCTCAGATAAGAAAACTGAGGCTCAAAGAGCCTGTCACATGGGTAGTCACGGCACATTATGAAGTTAAAAGACAAATAGTGAAATAGCAAATAAAAAATTTTGCAACATGTATAAGGGATTAGAAGTAACAAAAAACCAAAGAGCTTCTGTCAATCAGTAGGAAAAGACAACTAGCTAGAAAAATGGTCAAACGATATGAAAAGGCAAAACACAGAACCTATATGAATTACTATGATGAGAAATGCAAGTTCGAATGAGATTCCATTTGCACAGGTCAGATTAGGAACAGTTGGAAAATACTGATTATATTTCAGGGGGTGCAGATGTGGGGATCCTAACACCCCGTGGGTGACTCTCCTGGAGTGACACTCTTGTCACTCCCTGGCTGCCCCTGTTTGGCCTGAAGATGAACACATGTGCCCATGAGCAGGGTGAGGGCGCACCGGGGTTAAGGAAGCTTATTTGCTGCTCTGCCAGTTTCCCCACAGAGGTGGAATGAGTTATCTGGTTGGTGGGTGACGGTCTCACTTTCTTCACCTAGATAATGCTAATCCAGGAGGAGTCCCCGAGGTGAGGGATTGCTTTCTTCTGTTCCTCTTTTTCCCAGAGCAGCAGGAGGCCGGCCTCCAGGGCAAGTCCATTCTGAAGCCACCAACGTTCCAGGGACAGGCGCTGGGAGGCCTAGTTCCTCCATCTGCAGGGGGAGCCCTTCACAGCCCTGGAGCAGCCACTGGCTGCCCTGCCTGGGATCTCAGCCAGCTCTCAAAGTGAATTCCAGGATGGGCAAGGGTCAGCAGCAGCAGCATCACCGGGGAACCTGTTAGAACTGTCTTGATGGGGGCAAACCTCTGCCCACCCCCAGCCCAGTTACTGAGTGTGTCATAGCACAGAGGTTTAGAGATCCTTGGAGGTTAGTCTGCTGTGGCTGGCGGGGGAAGGCTGTGGAAAGGGGAGACATCTGGACTAATTTCTCTAGACCCTGCCTCCCTGGCTGGGTCTCAGTGCATGTGACTGGTGACTGATAGGGTCCTTGGATGCCTGGAAGGGTCTGGACTCCCCCAGCTCATCCAGTATGTCCAGGCCTGAAAGAGCATCCCCCTTGGGTGAACCTGGAGGCATCCTCTCTTCCTGCTTTCAGTCTTCCTAAGTTTGGTTTGTGTTTGTCTCTTCTGGCCAACAAGTCACAAAACACCAATTGTGTAATTTCAGTGGTTCTGCATATGAGTTAAATGCTCTGAAATTTACATTTAAAACTGGCATTGCTTGATATAAAGATGAATGGTAAAATACTTGCTAATAATTTAAAATTTAGAGTTTTCTTAGAACGACAGTAAATAGAAAATAAAAAGCACCATGACAAGTCGAAAAAGAGGCTGCAGAAGAAATGAAGAAACTCGCTGAGTACCACGATGGACACTTCCCCCGACTCTGGGAATAAAGGCTACCACACTTTTATTTCTCATTGGGCCTCACAGATCCTGTAGCCAGCCCTGCAGGCCAAGATTGACTGGCCCAAAGGGACCAGTCTGGAAATTTGGATCTGGGACCAAAAAAAAGAAGTTTTTCTCCAGCAGGCGGCAATTGAACACAGGGAAGTGGAGACCCATTGTTGGCCACATTTGGCCTTGTGGATTAATGAGCAGAAAACAGCAGTTGGCCTCAGGAAAGAAGAAATGAATCAGATATACACAGCAAAGCAGAAGCAAAGGACGGAGAGACCATTTCTTGGTGCCCCATAGAGTTCCAGTTCCTATTTGCTATCTGCTCCTCCTGGCAGGCAGTCCTGTGGGTGGCATCTTGGTACCTTCCAACAAGTTCTCACTTGTGGCTAAAGTTGGCGACATTCTGAATTCCATTGTCTGCAACCAAATGAATCTTAACAAATGCAGGAATATACATGCATCAAACAAGAAACAGAGGTGCGGTACACAAAAATAGGGAACTATATCTCAAAAAGAAATACTGGATCTGGGAGCAGCATCCCTAATGGGTAAATGGTGTTGGGTCCCCAAAGAAAACTGTATGGCTTGTAAGCTGTCACGGTTTGTCAAAGAAAGAAAACTTTTTAAGATAGGCTAAGGGAATTTTGTATTAGAAAATCAAAGTCTTTATTTACTCTTTCCCCAGATGGGTTTTTTTTTTATTTTTTTATTTTTTTAACTGTGCTTCTAGGCTTTTAGATCAAGATATACATATACGCCAGGTGTGGTGGCTCACGCCTGTAATCCCAGCACTTTGGGAGGCCAAGGTGGGTGGATCACCCGAGGTGAGGAGTTCAAGATCAGCCTGGCCAACATGGTGAAACCCCGTCTCTACTAAAAGTGCAAAAAATTAGCTGGGCATGGTGGTGAGTGCCTGTAATCCCAGCCACCCTGGAGACTGAGGCAGGAGAATCGCTTGAATCAGGAGGTGGAGGTTGCAGTGAGCTGAGATCACAGCCTAGGCAACAAGAGCAAAACTCCATCTCAAAACAACAACAAAAAGATACATATGTAAAGATCGTCTTGGTTCAGCAGTTCTCCATGTGGCTGCATGTTAGAAACAGCCAGCTTTGGTTCAACATACACAAATCAATAAATGTAATCTATCATATAAACAGAACCAAAGACAAAAACCACATGATTATCTCAATAGATGCAGAAAAGGCCTTCGACAAAATTCAACAACCCTTCATGATAAAAGCTCTCAATAAATTCAGTATTGATGGAACGTATCTCAAAATAATAAGAGCTATTTATGACAAACCCACAGCCAATATCATACTGAATGAGCAAAAACTGGAAGCATTCCCTTTGAAAACTGGCACAAGACAGGGATGCCCTCTCTCACCACTCCTATTCAACATAGTGTTGGAAGTTCTGGCCAGGGCAATCAGGAGAAAGAAATAAAGGATATTCAATTAGGAAAAGAGGAAGTCAAATTGTCCCTGTTTGCAGATGACATGATTGTATATTTGGAAAACCCCATCATCTCAGCCCAAATCTCCTTAAGCTGATAAGCAACTTCAGCAAAGTCTCAGGATACAAAATCAATGTGCAAAAATTACAAGCATTCCTATACACCAATAACGGACAAACAGAGAGCCAAATCATGAGTGAACTCCCATTCACAATTGCTTCAAAAAGAATAAAATACCTAGGAACCCAACTTAAAGGGATGTGAAGGACCTCTTCAAGGAGAACTACAAACCACTGCTCAACGAAATAAAGGAGGACAGAAACAAATGGAAGAACATTCCATGCTCATGGATAGGAAGAATCAATATTGTGAAAATGGCCATACTGCCTAAGGTAATTTATAGATTCAGTGCCATCCCCATCAAGCTACCAATGACTTTCTTCACATAATTAGAAAAAACTACTTTAAAGTTCACATGGAACCAAAAAAGAGCCTGCATTGCCAAGACATTCCTAAGCCAAAAGAACAAAGCTGGAGGCATCACGCTACCTGACTTCAAACTATACTACAAGCCTACAGTAACCAAAAGAGCATGGTACTGGTACCAAAACAGAGAGGCTACAGTAACCAAAACAGCACGGTACTGGTACCAAAACAGAGATATAGACCAACAGAACAGAACAGAGCCCTCAAAAATAATACCACACATCTACAACCATCTGATCTTTGACAAACCTGACAAAAACAAGAAATGGGGAAGGGATTCCCTATTTCGTAAATGGTGCTGGGAAAACTGGCTAGCCATATGTAGAAAACTGAAACTGGATCCCTTCCTTACATATACTAAAATTAATTCAAGATGGATTAAAGACTTAAATGTTAGGCCTAAAACCATAAATACCCTAGAAGAACACCTAGGCAATACCATTCAGGACATAGGCATGGGCAAGGACTTCATGTCTAAAACACCAAAAGCAATGGCAGCAAAAGCTAAAATTGACAAATGGGATCTAATTGATCTTTTGCTTCTGCACAGCAAAAGAAACTACCATCAGAGGGAACAGGCAGCCTACAGAATGGGAGAAAATTTTTGCAATCTACCCATCTGACAAAGGGCTAATATCCAGAATCTACAAAGAACTCAAACAAATTTACAAGAAAAAAATCAAACAACCCCATCAAAAAGTGCGCAAAGTATATGAACAGACACTTCTCAAAAGAAGACATTTATGCAGCCAACAGGCACATGAAAAAATGCTTATCATCACTGGCCATCAGAGAAATGCAAATCAAAACCACAATGAGATACCATCTCACACCAGTTAGAATGGCAATCATTAAAAAGTCAGGAAACAACAGGTGCTGGAGAGGATGTGGAGAAATAGGAACGCTTTTACACTGTTAGTGGAACTGCAAACTAGTTCAACCATTGTGGAAGACAGTGTGGCGATTCCTCAAGGATCTAGAACTAGAAATACCATTTGACCCAGCCATCCCATTACTGCGTATATACCTAAAGGATTATAAATCATGCTGCTATAAAGACACATGCACACGTATGTTTATTGTGGCACTATTCACAATAGCAAAGACTTGGAACCAACCCAAATGTCCATCAATGATAGACTGGATTAAGGAAATGTGGCACATATACACGATGGAATACTGTGCAGCCATAAAAAAGGATGAGTTAGGTCCTTTGTAGGGACATGGATGAAGCTGGAAACCATCATTCTCAGCA